TCAGGCATTTTGATAGCTGTTGGAGTGGTTAGAATCAGTGTCAGTTCCCTCTCAAAGGCTTCTAGACCGGGGGACTAAACAAATTCATCCATCATTTTAGAACAATAGTTGGTTGTCTTCCTTAGCTACAGGTAGGGACTACAGTATTGCAGACCAAGATTCGAATTCTTACATCTAAGCAGCACTTTCTGATTAGGAACAAAATCATCAATGAGAAATAATTGTCTAAAGAACTTTTTCTATAGACTTAAGCCTAATGTCTGGGAAGTGTAATACCTTGAACTCAAAGAAATATACTGATGACTTTACTCTTTGGTTACACTTTCCTTTTGGGTGTTTAAAACCATACAGTTGACCCAAATAAATCAATTTATTTTTACACTTAAGGTCCTTTGAGGCTCTGTTCCTCAGGGGTCTCATGGGCTTGGGAGGAGCCCCTGGCTCCTTTCTTTTACCAGTTCCCCCTATGTAACAATAAGTCTATCTTGTGGGGTCTCCATGTCCTTCCTGAACAAGAGGAAAGGTGACTCACTGCAGTTACAGGACATTTTGAGAGATGTTCCACAATCCCCTGGAACTTAGTCTACCTCAGAGGGCAAGGGGCAAAAACTGTCCTTTAAGGCCCTCTGACCAGATTACCATAGGCCTCAAAGTATGGCTGTTAAACATCCAATAAGTTTAGTTACACCAGTCTGGTACTTTTAACTACTATGTGCTATGTAGATAAAGCTTGGGTAAAAAGCAAATATTTCAGATAAACCTTGATTAGGTATATATTTTGTTCCTTAAACTAGTTGACTAAACTATGACCTTAGAAATTTTAAGATTATGTGAATATGATTTTGTCTCATCCTTTATATATCATAACAAACATACACAGACCTTCATCACTTGCTTAGGCTTTCTCATTTTTTTCTATTTTGAAAAATATCTCCATTCCCATATCCTTTTAACATCTTTTACATTCTCATTTTCTTTTATTTAATAATTATGAGACATAATAGCATTAACAAATAAATTTTCCATCTTTTGAGAGAATTCTTTTCATGGGATGCTAATCAATGCTTATTCCCTTCTAAGGTTCTAGTGTCAAGCCAATGTTTGACTAAAGTTTTCCTGGAGAACCAATGAATTTACTGCATTTACTTACTGAGATAACTGAGGGGTTGCTGAGGTGTATGTATGACCTGAGGGTATGCACACTGGAAAGCCTTTACCCAGCATGGGTCAAGCCTTCTCTTCCTAGCCTTCCCCAGATTGTATACTTTAGTCCTCCCCAATCCAGGAGACCATGTATAATTAGGGCTCTTGGCCCATTTTTGAACTGGACTGTCTTTAGTATTATTAAACTGCAGGAGTTTCTTCAAACAGTCTACATTCAAGTCTCTTATCAGATATGTGATTTGAAATTTTTGTTTTTGTCTAAAATTTTTAAAAAATTTTTATTGAGCTTTTGTACATTTCATACAACAGTTCTTCATCAAATATAGACTCCCTTCCCCATCTGTGCCCCTCCACCGAGCCTCATGTATTCCACCATACATGTTAAATCCTATCTAATCAAGCATTTGTACCCAGATGTTCAATGAAACTTCATCCACTGAAGTCTAGTCAGCCTATCTAGAGATCATAAGTAAGACCTACTCTCCCTCATCCAGTAGTAATCAGTCCCTAAAAGTTCCCAGACTAGGGCCAGCCTGCCACCCATTTCCCTTGTCTGATTGAGTTAGCCATGGGTCCTGTGCTCCAAGCCACCCTTCTACAAGTTCACATGTGCTCTAAGCCACCCTTCCATAAGTTCACATGAACAAGCTTCCAATGGCCTGAAAGCCTCTGCTTCCCTATGTTCATAAGCCAGCCCTGGCTCTTACGATCTTTCCACCCCCTCTTCCTCAATGATCCCTGAACTCTGGATGGGAGACGTTTAATATAGGAGTCTTATCCAGGGACAAACACTCTACAGTCTCTCATTCTTTAAAACTTGGCCAGTCTTGGCCTTCTGTGTGTATCACATTCTGTTTTAAAAAGAAGCTTCATGGGTGAGAGTTAAGGGATGCACTAGTTTTCTCTCTGTGCCCCCACTCCCGTTCTGCTATATTCCATGAGCCTTAGTATAGAAAAACCCAAAATCAAAACAATGTCAGAGCAGTGTCTAGAAAAGGCATGCTTTTCAGTTAAAACATGGTGTCTTCTCTCTGCATCCTAAAGTAGTGAGAGGAGGAGGCAGCCTTCTGATGCCTCCTTTGTAAGAACACTAATCCCATTCATATGGTCGTCGTGACCTGCCAAAAAGTCTCATTTCCTAATATCATAACCGTGGTGATTAAGTTTGGACACATAAGCTTTTAATGGAATCAAGCATTTATACTATAGCAATATGTAAAGTAAATTACATATTTACCTTTAAAAATACATGTGCTTATTGTATCCTCTTGTGTATATTTTCAAATATGATAAGGTTGTACTTCATAAGATGTTTTTAAGTAACTTCATAATTTCAGTTTAGATAATGCACTTACACAAACTAAATATTTTAATCAAAGTTAATTTTTTCTTCATTTGTTAATAAGATATCTATTTAATTTCATAGGTAACTTTCAAAATATTATTCCAGTTTAATACATCATGTCTCATGGATAATGCAATCATTCACTTAAGTGTAACAAGGTTGGTTTATATATGTGTGAATATGTATGTTTGCATGTATGTGTATCAGTTTTTTCATGAAATTAGAATGTTTTACCTTGTAGAGTCACTGGTAGCTTCTTGCAGCTTGCATGAGATCGGCAGAAGCAGACATGCATGAAGCACTGTGCTTCACAAAGCGGTAAAACAAAGCAATTCTTCAATAGAAATAATTCAATCAACTGGGTTAAATTGTTGATGATACCTGCTGTAGACCACATCGTAATTACACAGCACTTATACCTGCCAGACTGCATTGAAAGTTAATAGGATTTGCTAATTTAAAAACTTTTAATAGCTGCCCATCAAGGTCAACTGAATCATTATATGGACTTAAAGTTTAGCAATACCCTTTTATAGTTTGCCACACTTTATTCAAATCATTCAAGGCTTCTGAAAGTTATCATAGAACTCATGCAATAAAAGTTGCAAAAGGTTAATAAGGAAGATGAAATAGGGATTAACTTTCTTCTAACTGTAATTTTCTACTGGAACTTGTCCAATGAGATCAAGTTATAGCTTTTGTTGGTTGTTTTATTTCCAATACCTAGAATGACCCCTACAGATAGAAATCATTAAATAGATGGAGAATAAATTGACAAAAAAAATGAATGGATGAGTTAATTCAGCATATTCCATTCAGTTTAAGGCAGCAACTATTTATTTGATATCTACTGTGTAAAGTATATTGAATTAGTCACTGTATAGCTTGTAAAAATTACTAAGTGCATGAACCTTCTCATGGGGTGAATACTACAGGGGGGAGTAGAGACTAATATAAAAAGTATTATTACACGGTAGTAAAGACAACCCAATATATAAAATAAACCATGTATGAGAGCATTAGTGATTGGAGGATGACATTGTATCTACTTGTCAATAAGAACATAAGCAAGCAATATCAAGAAAATTTAATTGAGAAAGAACTTTAAAAATGGACAGTGTGGCACATAGAGCCTTGTGATTAGGAGCAAATAGAACATTTTCAGGCAAAATACAGAGCGTCAGCAAAACCTCAGAGGTAGACCAGTTAACCTGCTGGAGGAATGCTGGGCTACCAATTTTTACTGAACTATAAAGAATACATGGAGTACAGACTGGTAATAAACATGAAGTATGCACCCTGCTGTATCATGTAGATACTGAATGGCAACATGAACTATTTTCTTAGTAGAACAGGCCTTCAGGAGTCAGAAAGCTTTTGAGGACTGAAGCTATGTACAGAGCTGCTTTTTTAGGAAGAATAATTTGTCTGCACTGAGAGAAGATAAGACAGAGGGGTCAGAACATTCATACTAAGAGCTCTATCACTTTTATTCTCATAACTCAAGGTGACATGTTGCCTCCTTCACTGCACTGTTGTTTATTCCAAGCCTGTGTATGTGCTGGGGAACAAGCAAAGCCATTAAAGGCACCCAACGTCTGTCCTGTGAAACAGTTTGCCAGATATTTAGTCAGTTTGTGGAGAATTATGTAGAGTAGTAATTATTAAATCCAACACATATAAAGTATTTCTTATATTCTAGGAACAATATTGAGTGATTTATGCTAATTGTTCATTTAATTATCAGTAATCATTTAATGATAAAATAACTGTTTTATATATGAAAAATCAAGACAGAAATTAAATAAGTTGATTTACTTATGTGTTATATGATGCATATATGTGTTCAAATATAATTAAATTACATATATTGTGAAAATTATAACGAAAACCAAGGCAATAGATACATTTTGAAATAACATGGATTCTGTTTACTCAGTCTGAAAGATTGTTAAGGGAAAAATAAAAATATTTTAGATTTACCCTTAGCTGAGTAAGCCTAGTTGGGTATCTGTATAAGGTCCTCACATACATGATAAATTTGACCTAAGGTGATCAGTGTTTTGTTCAAAACACAAATCATTATGCCACAACTCATACCTATTATATCCACAGAAATCCAGGAATCTGGGTATTTTAATAATGAAATCTGGGAATTCTTACTATCTCACAGAATTTTAGGAAATATGGGGCTAAATATGTGTGATTGTCAACTCTAGCTATACATCAGTATCAACTTAGGAATTTTAACAATCCCCATCTCTAGTTTCTTTCCTTACCTGGTTAAAATATATGAAACAAAATTTCTCTATTTTGTATTCTTATTAATTTGTCAATATAATCTTCTCTTTTGAATGCTTAAAGATGCTGTTAAATAGTCAATTTTAATGATTAGTCTGAATGTGCTGTTTTCCAGTGACAGTGAAGAGCCGCCTGAATCTCTTTTTGATAATGAAGTAAATATTTCTATCCCAATAAAATATGAAGTTGGACTACAGTTTTACAGGTAGGAGGAAGACAGCTTCATTCATTGATACCTTTCTGATAGCTGAACGGTTCTCCAACTGTGGTCCCTGGCCAAGACAGAGACTCACCATTGCCTGGGAACTTAGAGGGTCCCATTCTCCAACCTTCCCCCAGACCTGCTGAGTCCGAAACTCTGGGATGGTGTTCAACATCCATGTTAAATAAGTCTTCTATACAATCCTTATGCACCCTAGCATTTAAAAACCTGTGTTTACTAAATAACAGAATATGACGCTAATGATAGATCTTAACCTCCTAAATGCAAGCCAAAGTCCTTGACAAAATGCAATGTTTTATGATAGGTGTGCAGCATATTTCATCTCTTGGGATGGAATCCAACCATCCATTTTGAGCAAACAGGATTAAACCATTTCTCATTGGTCAGCCATTTATTTCTTCCATTATTCATAAACCATTCTTTCCATTCTGTCCGTCTTATCTATCCAAACACCAATCACATTGGCAAACTTCCATTCTACAATACCCTTGTTACAAATTCTCTTACTTCAGCAGAATTCCAAGCTTTTGCTAAATAAGTATGTGCTATATATACATATACATATACATATATATACATATACGAGAATCAGTGACGAGTTCAGTTTAGTCTAATAATCTTGTCATTTGTTTTTGATGGCACTTTCTCTTTAATAATAAGAAACCAGAAAATGAAGATTACAGGATGCACACGTAGATTTGCTTACACTTTTCAGTCTTTGATGTCTGTTATCTGGTTTGCTGTATCTGCATCTGTCAGCACAAAGACTTTCCAATTTTCCACTTAATTCAAGTCAATTTTTGGCACACATTTATAATTTTTTATGTCTTTTCTCTTGACTGAAGTGCTACTTTAAGCTATGTTACTAGTTCTAATAAGTGTCATCCAAAGACCATGAAATTTGTGTAAAGGCTGAACTTTTCAGTTTAGCAATAAATATAGGATTTTTAGATTGTATAAATATAAACATTTTTAAAAACCTAGTTACAATTCATCACTACAAAAGATATCAAATTTAACTTGATGTTTTTCTCTTAATGTAAGTACTAGTGAATTTATGGAAACTCTTCACTTGTTAATGAATAAAATTTTATTTTAAAAGTTACATATAATTTAGTATTTTAGTCTCAAGTAAGCAACAATGATATTTGAACCATAGTATATAATCCTTACCATCCTCAAATATTTGATTGAGGTTTCTGGGTGGAAGAATAGCCTTCTGATTTGAACTCCTGTGAGTATTTTTGTAGAATTACATGATGTGGAGAAAGAAATGAATGACGTCGAATAAAAGTTAAACTTTTTGTTTTTATCTTTTATTTTTATTTTTCAAATTAATTCTTCTAAGTTCTGCAAGTGAGCACCACATTTCAATTGCAACCAATGAGACTGTACCTGAAGTTATTAATTCCACTGAGGACATCGGAAATGAAATTAATGTCTTCTACATGGTAAGAAATTATCTCTAAGTTAGTATTCTAATGAGGTTATTTATAAGTTTACAAATTAAGGTGTTTTCAAAGAAAAATATGCTAGGATAAGAGGGCCAAGTGCTGGAACACATTTTATGTTTGTTATATTGCTATTGTAGAATATTTTACACAAATTGATAATTATACCATTTCTCAGTCTTTTGCTAACATCAAGTGTAAACTGATAATTATACTTTGAGTCATTTTTAAAAGTCACAGTCTCTAATTTCCTTATAGTAAGACGTACTAACTTAGAAGAACTTCTTAGGGAGAAAATTGACTGTGGCACCAAATAGATACCACCAATGTGAGCAATAGACTTTGTATTCTTTCTAGAATGACTAAAAAAATCATCTTTAAGGGAATCATGATAATTTCAAAAACTGATTATTTCAAACTTCTCATGGGAACATCTTCCTTTATTAAGTGAATAGTGTGCCTTCTGCTGACTGCTTTCTTTCACATGCATTATACTGTCAGTTCCTGATGTTGGCACTACACTCCCTGCCCACTTCAATGATGTTTTCCACTACATTATTTTTCATTTTAAATCCTTCATAGCAAACTTTTCCTAAGCTCTATTGCAGACTGTCATGAGTTTCAACTTAGGTAACACCTACTTAGCAGTTAATATTACTGAGAGAGGAAAAAAAGCACACAATTAAAATGATGGATGTAGACTTTATAAACACACAAAATTGAGGGATTTTTGTGTGTGCGATAAAAATCTAGTGAAATAATACATGCAAATACTAAAGACAAATAAATCCAATAAAATGTTATTATAAATGTTATTAGCATCCAATAAAATGTTATTAAGAGGATTAACTTGTAGGAGACTTTTGTTTTCTGCTTATTTTCAGTATTTTCTAGTGTTTTTATAAGGAATGCTTCTTAATAAGAAAAAAGGTAATATCAGAATATGTGGTTGTTGACTGAATATCAGAAACAGATGAGAGGCTATGCCAGGCAAGCCTAGGACGTATTACCATAAGATGGTGGAGGACCAAATTTACATTTAAGAGGCCAGGCACAGTTGGTCAGGAATTTCCATAGTTCCGGGATTAATGGACTTAATTTTCAGCAGCCATTGGGGAACTACTGCAGATCTGAGATGCTCTGGAAACAGGATCCTTCCCTAGACAAGCAGTAGGTTTCCTGGCATCTGTCTGTAAAGTTCAAAGAGCTCCTACACAGCTAAGTAAATTGCCCACAGAGGCCACTGAAAGGCATAGGGCCTGCAGATCATGTTTGTATGGTAGCTGGGAGGGCCTCTACACCTAGTGTTCCCAATTCTGCTGCTTCCTCTAAGAGGCAAAGGGTTTCTGGACAGTGAGTCTCCTTCTGGGCCTCATGCTGCCCACCATTCCCTGTAGGCGCCACTCATCAGTCATGCCATACTGGGACACTAAGTGGAGATTCTGGATTAAAGGATCAAGATAAACAGAGACTGAGATGGAAGTCAATCTGCTTATCAGGCTGGATTACCAACAGCCAGTGAGAGAGCAGCCCTGGCTTGGGATAGAATAGCGAAAGGAAACGGATGGGTGCTTGGTTTCCCCGAACACTGGTGTTAGGTCCCATCTAGCTGAAACTAGAGGAGTCACAGCTTTGGGTATTTTGACAAACTAGGTTAAAGCAACAAAAAAACTTCTAAATTGTTTTGTGTGGATCAGGTAAATAATTTCTGCCCCTTAAACCCCTGGATGAAGGCTGGAGAGATGGATCAGTGAATTACAGCACTTGCTCTGTGAGCATGAGGGCCTGAGTTTGAATCCCCAGCTCCTATGTAAAACAGTTGAGCATGGCTGCTTGTGCCTTTTACAACACAGCACTGGAGCAGAGATGGATGCTGAGAGCTTGCTGTCAGTCAGCCTAGCCAAATGGTGAATGTCTACTGCAGTGAGAGACCATGTCTCAACACACACACACACACACACACACACACACACACACACACAGGATATTAGAAAGGATGGTGTACATAGCAAGAGCAGAATAATAGAGATACTTTTCAATTCTAATTTTCTACTGATCCCATTATTATTAATATTAGTAGCATTATTAATCCCAGTATCATCCTGGAGTGAAGGATGAAGAAACAGTATAATTATAGCTACTTCATATGACCATTGATAAGCATCCATACTTTCTTGCTGGCTTAATCTTAATCCAATTCCCATATAGCATCATTAATCATATTCATCTGGATGATTACAAATTTTATATAATTTAATCCATCAAAGTCCTGGGGCTTGGGGAGAGGGCTCAGTGGTTAAAGCACTTGCCAAGCAAGAGGATTGAAGTTCAGTTAACTCCACAGTATAACTGCTGTGTGGCGTAGAGGCTCACTCTTAACCTCAGCTCAGAAGGCAGAAACGGGATCTTCAACGCATGCTGGCTAGCAAGACTAGCCTTATTGATAAGTTCTGGGTTTAACTGAGAGACGCCACCTCTAATAATAAGGTGATATAGCTGTCAAGGAAGAATCTAGGTATCAACTTCAGGCTTCCATAGGCACAGTGCAGATCCACATGTACACCCACACACATGTGAACATGCCTACATAAATGCACACACACACACACACACACACACACACTTGAAAAGAAAAAAAAATTGACCAAAAGCCTACTTAAGATAGAAAGGATGCTACTGAAAGAGCAAGAAATTGTTATATGTCTATTTTTTTCCCTGTAGATTAGAAAAAGGGGACATTTCCCAATGCCAGAACTTCAGCTGTCAATTTCATTCCCCAATTTGACATCAGATGGTTATCCTGTGCTGTACCCAATTGGATGGTCATCTTCTGATGTAAGTCAAGTGTGCTTTACCATCGTGTCATTACTGTTACCTTCACTTTAAAATTTTCACAGTATATTCACTTATTTATTTGGTATGTATGGGGGGAGGGTGTTACAATGCATGTGTGGAAGTCAGAGGACAACTTGCAGTAGTCTGTTCTCTCCTTACACCATGTGGGTCCTGGGAATAGGACTTGGGTCATCAGGCTTGGCAACAAGCCCTGCTTATCCCCTGTGCCATTTCTCTAGCCTAGTTTTTAGCCCTTCTTTACCTGCCATTTAAGCCTTTTGTTTGTGTGCCACTTGTGATAGGGTCCTACTAAAGTAACATGGAGAGGCTGGAGAGATGGCTCAGCAATTAAGAACACTGGCTGTTCTTGCAGAAGATCTGGGTTCAAATCCCAACACCCACATGGAGGCTAACAACTGTCTGTAATTCCTGTTCCAGGGGATCCGACGGCCTCTTCTATCCTCTGCGGGCATTGCATGACACGGGTGCACTTGCCTACATGCAGGCAATACATGCATATACATAAAATAATAAATGATAAATAACATGTTTAAAAAATAAATTAAAATTTTTAAAATTTTAAAAAAGAAAATGAATGGTAATGTTCATTGGTTATATAGGATTGTGAGTTTGATCTCTAGGGCACCTGTAGCATATTATCAATGATGAGTGATTAAAAAGGGTAGTTGATGGGTCCAGGCATGGTGGTGCATGCCTTTAATCCCAGCACTTGTGAGGCAGAGGCAGGCAGATCTCTGTGAGTTTGAGGCCAGCCTGGTCTACATAGCGAGTTCCAGGTCAGCTGGGGCTACAGGGAGACCCTGTCTCAAAAAGACCAAAAAAAAAAAAAAAAGCAGTTGATTCTTTAATGGTTCTGAGGCCAGAATCAAGGCATTGATGCTAGAGATTCCTTCTGCCCCATGCTTTCTCACCCAGCCTCTGGTGCTTACTGGCATCTCCACATATCCCTTGTCTCATTCTCTGCCTCTGTCTTCACATGGCCTTCTTCCTGTGTTTCTTGTGTGGTTCTGTCTCAGTGTGTTTATGTATGCTCACCACTGGGTTTAAGGCCATCCTGAAATCCAAGCTGTCTTTGTTTGTAAAGCCTTAATTTAATTTTACTCCATTTCCAAATAAGGTCACATTTACAGGTTAAAGTTGTTAGCAGTTGCCATATCTTTTTGGAATCACTATTCAAGCCAATAGATCTTAGCTAATTAATAATTGATATGTACCTGAAATGTTTGTTACACTTGCTTCTCAATTTATCCTAAATATTCATAATTGTACATAAAATAACAGAATGCTGCTAACACAACACAAATAGTGACAATATCGTGGCCCCTTTGTATTTGTGACTCTAAATAGACAATATGGCATTTAATTATTATGGTTTAGTGTTTAAAACACAGAAAACCTCAATAAGGATTAAATTAGTACATGCATGATATCAGGATTTGACAATATGCCTTTCTTTCATGCAGTTCTTTAAATATTTTGTTTATTATTTTTAATTTATGTGTATGACTATATTGCTTGCATGTATGTAAGTGCACCCATGTTGTGTAAAGCCCTTTGAAGTCAGAAGAGGACACTGGATACCCTGAAACTAGAATTACCAATAGTTGTTATCCACTATGTGGGTGCTGGGAATCATCCAGGTCCTCTGCAAGAGCAGCCAGTGCTCTTAACTGCTGAGCCATCTCTCCAGCTCCTCACACAGTTTATAAAAATTAAAGTATTCTCAGAAATTTAAAAACAGCAACAGTAGTATTTGTCTTATAATCACTTAAATGTTTTACTAGGGACAAGGTTAAAAACAAGTGTCTGGAATTCCCCTCTAGTCCACGAAAACGGCCATCAAATTGAGGAACAGATGATCTTTCTTTTTCCTCAGTAGAACTTAAACATGTATGGATGTGTGTGTGTGTGTGTGTGTGTGTGTGTGTGTGTGTGTTAGCTAATTAAGAACTGTATATATATATGGACTTTATATATCTATATTATATATGTAATGGAACTTTATAAGCCAACCTTTAAAAAATGTTATTATGCTACTCATGAAATAGTGAGTTCTTTTAGCATCCTTTCTCCTCCATTATGGTAACAGCAATTATTATTGTTATTATTATTGAAATCTAGGGGTAGGAGTACCTGGATGATTCTTTATAGCCTCTTCCATCCTGCACACTTATAAATGGATCTTTAATATATGCCAATACCCATCATTCATAGATTTTTCATGTATTGCATGAATTAACCATTTTCCCTTTGACTTTTGGCATTGTCTGATAAGGAAATATTTTCCTTTCTTAGAATGCAAATTGCAGACCCCAGAGTCTTGAAGATCCTTTTGGTATCAACTCTGGGAAGAAAATTACAATATCAAAATCTGAAGACCTCAAACGAGGCACAATTCAGGTGAGTTAAATCCTATTTTTACCTTATGCTTTCCAAGTGGAATAAATCCAATATCAACTTAGAATTATCATCTGAAGTATTCTGCTATGGCACCTTTGGTCAGATGGCAGGAATACTAACATATACCTCTGACATTCAAACAGGATTGCAGTACCTGTAAATTTGCTACCATCACATGTAATCTCATTCCTTCTGACGTGAGCCAAGTTAATGTCTCACTCATCTTGTGGAAACCAACTTTTATAAAAGTAAGTGGTTGCTTTGTTATATGCAGTTATTGAGTCAAATCAACATGTTTGTTCAATATCTAGTATGTGTGTGCAAATCACAGTGCTATCATGGAAACAAGATAAAATGGATGTCTCTGAGAATATGATCTAAGACCCAGCTCTACCTAACCACCTGTGTAGGTCTCATCTTCCCAGTCTGTTAATAATTAAGCTATATCCAAAGTTCTCTGTGTTCTCAGTCTCTCTCATCCTTAATCTTTGAATCATAAGAAAGAAATATCTCTCCAGTACTGAAGTTTATGCTTCTCTTCATAGTTTGGAACCCAGTTAAGGGTCAAAGAATTACAGAGTGACAGTCCTTAATGACAAAGGAGAGAGCTAGAATATGTTACATTCTTGTGATTTTTCAGACTTTCATTCTATGCAAGTATGTTTTGAAGAACACTTCTTAATACTCAACAAAGTCACATCAGTCTCAGTGTAACCTGCTTTAAAATGCAGTTTATTCTATTTTGCATTACCTGTTTCTCTCTTAAGAAATATTTCGTTGGTCATATGAAATTGCAACTTTTAGGTTTGATCATATTGAGATAATATTTTTGTCAC